ATAATTAACACAGCTATTTTGTGGTATGAGGAGACTTAACTGCAGGTTCAAAAAAGCAAAGCAAATGGGGAAAAAGTGAGGCAATTGTTAACTCCAGGAAAAACAAAAATTTGATACATGTCTTTAATCAGGACTAAAAAATGAAAAAAATATGTTCAACAATAAAGAAAAAGAAATCATAGTGTACAACTTGGCTCAAGAACACACTTTTGGGCCGGGCGCAGTGGCTGACGCGTGTAATCCTAGCACTCTGGGAGGCCAAGGCGGTTCGGAATTGCTCAAGGTCAGGAGTTCGAGACCAGCCTGAGCAAAAGCAAGACCCTGTCTCTACTAAAATAGAAAGAATTAATGGCCAACTAAAAATTATTAGAAAAAATTAGCTGGGCATGGTGGCACATGCCTGTAGTCCCAGCTACTCAGGAGGCTGAGGCAGAAGAAGATTGCTTGAGCCCAGGAGTTTCAGGTTGCTGTGAGCTAGGCTGACAGCCTGGCATTCTAGCCAGGGCAACAGAGTGAGACTTTGTCTCAAAAAAAAAAAAAAAAAAAAAAGAAAGTAAATCTAATAATTCCAACAAATAAGTCAATAGGTGATATCTAAATTGATGATTCTAGAATATATATGATTTTTTTTTAAGCCAGCCTCACAGTTGAATATATGATTATTTTTAAAAATTTGGAAATAACTGCTATAAGTAATAACTAAAAAATTTGAAAGTGATTACTTCTGGGGAGGTCGTTAGTAGGGCTGTGTAACTAGTTCTGGTTTGCTAGTAAGGTTTTATTTTTAAAAACTCTTTTTTATCATAATTTTAAAACCCTTTTTTTTTTTTTTTTTTTTTTGCTCTACACTGTTTCTTGCATTCCATATCTTTTTCTTATTCAAATTTCATTGTTGTTTTGTTGGAGAGAACAGCCTCTAGTAATTCTTTCAAATATGGCTATGGATAAAAAAACCGTTTAACCTTTTATGCTCCAAAATGTATTGAGGTACAAATTATATACAATAAAATTCACTCTTTTTAGGTGTACTGTTCTGTGAATTTCAACAAATTTGCATAGTCACATAACCTGCACACCACAATCAACAGACAGAATGTTTTCATCACCCTAAATAGTTCCCTTGTGCCTTTCTGTGGTCAGTTTCATTGTCCCTCTTCCTCTGCCCCCAGTTCCTGTCAGCCAGTGATCTGGTTTCTGTCCTGGTTGTTTTGCCTTTTCCAGAAGGTCACATTAATGGACAAACAGTCTGACCTCTTTGACCTAGCACAATGCTTTGGAGAGTCATTCCTGGGGTTGCACTTATAGGGGACATTTAAAATCCAAAGTTATAGTCTTCAGGCACCATTTCTCAAGTATTTCTGGCTGTATTGTTTTCTGTTTATATGATCAGATTGGACTTCCTGGCTTCCTTATGTTTGGGTGGGGCCATGTAATTAGTTCTGGCCAAGGAGCTGCAAGTACATGTCACTTCTGGGCCAGACCATTTAATTGACAACGTGAGACTCTCTTGAGCTCTCTCTTCCCCTCTACCACTGGGATGGGCAACATGCAAGGTGGTGGCTGCTCTGTCACCAGGCTGAGTCTTGGGGTGACTTCAACCAGCAGAGCCCACTGCAACCTGTTGTAGACACACAGCCAACAGATAGTTTGCTTGAGTGAGAAATACACCTTTGTGGTTTTTAAGCCATTGAGATTTGGGAGTGCTTTGTTATCACAACGCAATCAGCTATATTTACAGATATAAAAGACTTGTGTTTTTAGCACTGGGAAATTTTCTTTTCTTACTGCTTTGGTTATTCCCCCTCCCCTCCCATTTTCTTCTTTCTTTCTGGAATGATAACTTTTGGATGTGTCCTCCATGTCACAACCTCCCTTTGTCCTTCTGGCTGTTTTCTGGGACGAACTCTCAGTTCCATCTTTTAGCTTACTGCTGTATTTTTTCGGCCTTCTTCATTTTGCTATTTAACTCAGCGTCTTAAAAAAACCATTTTTCTACTTATATACTTGTATTTATTTACCAAGACCCCTATTTGCTTCTTTCTCATAAGGGATTGTTGCTTAGTGGGTGCAGAGTCTTCTGTGTTCTTTCTAGGACTATTAATTATTTTTAAAGTCTTGGTTCTGTTAATTTCCCCCCCTTGTTAGCTTTTATCTTTCTTCCAGAGTGCTGGCTTTCTTTAATTGCCTGCTGACTTTTGCTGGTCTGTAAATCCTTTGTGTTCAGGAATCCCTATTTGCCTGACTGCTAATTTGCTCACAATTGTTTCTTCTGATTTTTGGAGAAAAGACTGAGACCCTGTGAGCTTCTGTTTTCTTGCGGTTTGTCTGGGCATGAGAACTCCTTGTTCTCCACAGGGTTCATTAGCTCCCTGGGTCACTCCATATGTGTCCAGCCTCTGCACATTTGCTGACACTGCCTTCTACTCAGCAGGACGGGAGGTGGAGGACCACCAGCCTAGTTTCTCCCAAAGCAATTCCACATTTCCCTGAAAACTCCTCCTGAGACCTTCTTGTCCTGCGTGGATGGTGAGCCTGGAGCTCCCTCCACGACTGGACCTCACACTCTGTGGTCTTTGTTTTCCACATTTTTAACTGTGATTTTTTTTCAAAGCTTGTTTCTTCCCTAATACAGTCTCTTGGGAATTTATAGTGAGGATTAAACAAAGCATGTTCCTGCACTGAATATGGTCCTCCGATTGCCACTTGGCAACCTCAGCCTTATCAGGTTATGTCCTCCCGGGGAACTGATGTTTAATTTTTTTAATTAAAAAATGTATATAAGTAATACATGTTTATTTGGTAAATTAGAAAATATAAACATAAAAAGGAAAATCAAAATCACCCCACCCAGAGATAACTGGTGTTGACATTTTGGTACACTCTCTGACATAGACACATAAATATATGAATTTTATTTAATTGATAGCAAACCACTGATATTTTTATTTATTTATTTTTTTAGAGATGGGGGTCTTGCCCTGTCACCCAGGCTGGAGTGCAGTGCCATGTTCCTAGCTCACTGTAACCTCAAACTCCTGGGCTCAAGTGATCCTGCCTCAGCATCCCTAGTTGCTGGGACTATAGGCCTGCACCACCATGCCTGGCTAATTTTTAAAAATTTTTTGTAGAGATGGGGTCTTGCTATATTGTCCAGTCTGTTCTCTGACTCCTGGGCTGAAGTGATCCTCCTGCCTTAGACTCCCAAATTGGTGGGATTACAGGCATGTGCCACTGTGAATTGCCCCTGATAACTTTTTAAAAGTTGTTTTTCCACACATTACTGTATCAAGGACATCTTTCCATGTCAATAAATATATATCATTTAATATACAGTGTTCCATGATATCAGGGGATATGATCCAGTCATGGAATTCCCTCTTGTTGGACATTGTTTCTAGCGTTCACTAGTATAAATGATGCTACAATAATTTGTGCACATACCCTTAGGATAACATATTCTTTAAGTGGGACTGTAAACATGGCTGGGCGTTTAGGAAGGAGTCCAGTCTTCAGATACAGGTAGGCTGCTCAAAGGCTGGACTTTCAAACATTCGCAACCAGCGCTGGGAACAGTGGTTTGAGCAAGAGGCAACATCTCAAACACACCTGGGAGATGCCAGTCCATCTAGCCCACCCTCCTTGCAGACCTTTGGAAAGGAGCTGGTGCAGCCATTTTGGTAAGAGCCCTTAGTCCCCTTCAGGAGGAGGATGGGGCAGGACACCCAGCCCACGCCCAAATCTGGAAGAGAAACTAGCTTCAAAGCAGAGAGCTGGAGCTGCTGTGGAAGACTCCTGAGACCCCACTGGGATTAGGGTGGGTGCTCCTGGCTGGCGGGTGGGGGCTCACCGCCCTCCTGGTGCCCCGCCATTGCCACCTCAGGCTGGCTTTGAGCAGCTGAAACCTTGACCATTTTCTAGAAGTGTCTAGAAGTGAGGCTGAGCCATTTGGAGTTGCTGTTGTGTAGGTGAAAGAGGGGTCGACTATTAGCAATTTCTAGGCACCTCAGGACTGGTGGACTTAATTCCTTCAACCTAAATAGCTAAATAGGACACTTATTTAGCGCTCAGTCTGTTGCCAGCCACCCTGCTAAACACATTATAGCCATTTCCCCCCCACAAAATCAGGACTGGAGGACATTATAGCCATTTTGAAACTGCCACAACTTTCTGAGGCATAGGAATTGTTCCCCACTTGATGGGGAAGAAAACTACGGCTCAGAATTTCCCCTTTTGGAGTCGTTTTGGGGCCAGTTAGTCCGCCAGACTTAAAAAAAACACCACCACAAAAGGCCCAGCATTCCGAGTTGCAGTTAAGGAGCTGGGACCTGGCGCAGACAGCCGGCCTCGCGTGGGCTCTGCCACCAACAGCCGTGACGCGCCGGGGACGCGCCTCGACTCGGCAGAGCCCGTCTCCACCGCGACGGACGCGAGCTCTCAGCGAGACGCGTTCTTGATCTTGTTTTCTCGTTATAGGAAAATCCTTTCGGCATTCAGCGACCCGCTATTTGCCTGAACCAACCGGGACAACGGCCACAGGCCCAGCGAAATCAGGAATGAGCCACTGAGACCGAGTTCCGGGCGCGGCAGGGCCCGGCGGGGACGGCGCCCCACCCCCACCGCCCACCACGTGGAGCGCCGCCCGGCCGCGGCCAGGCCGCGGGCGACTCCGGAGCGCCGGCGGGGCGGGACGTCTCTTCTAGGCCCCGTCACCAGGGGGTGGCGCGGCCAGGCCACCGTGTTCCGCAGCACCCTCAGCCGCCCGGAGGGGAGGAGGTGGTGAAGGGAGGGCAGGGAGGCGCGGCCTCAGGGTCCTTTTTTTTTTTTTTGTCCTCCTTGATAGGGAAGGGCTCCCCTGCGCCTTTAAGAGGCCGCCACGGGCCGATTGGCCGGGACGCGGCGGAGACGTCACGCCGGGGCCGGCGCCGAGGCGGCCCCGTCAGCCCGCGCCTCCCCGCCGCCGCCGCGCGCTCGCGGACAGTCCGCGCGCGGCCGGGCCGGCGCCTCAGCGTAGCTCGCGCGTCGCCCGGGCCCCGGGGGATGCCCCCGGCCGGGCCCCCCTCATGGCCGCCGACGTCTTCATGTGTTCCCCGCGCCGGCCCGCGCGGGGCCGCCCGGTGCTGCTCAAGCCCCAGGTGCCCGAGGACGACGACGACTCGGACACGGATGCAGGTCCCCGCCCGCCTCCGGCGCGACCAACGCGGCCCGGGCCCACGCGAGCGCCGCGCTGCCGCCGCTCCGGGCCGGGCCGGGCCGCGAGGAGCCTCCGCGCCGCCAGCAGATCATCCACAGCGGCCACTTCATGGTGTCGTCGCCGCACCGCGAGCACCCGCCCAAGAAGGGCTATGATTTCGACACGGTCAACAAGCAGACGTGCCAGACCTACAGCTTCGGCAAGACCAGCTCCTGCCACCTGTCCATCGACGCCTCGCTCACCAAGCTCTTCGAGTGCATGACTTTGGCCTACAGGTAGGGACCTCGCGACCTCCGGAGGCCCCGGTCGGGCCCCACGCCTCCAGCGGGGGCCCCTCTTCGACGAAACCAGCGTGGAGGCCAGGACCGCCTGGAAAGCCCTGGATTTACGCATTCCTTTGGGTCTTACCCCTTTGGGAGGGTTTATGGGTCTCGGGTCCCCAACGTTGTGAGAGGGGCCGGCGTCCTGGCCTCTTCCCCTGCCTGCAGTGCTTGGCTTCTTTCCGCTTCACCTTCTCCATTCAGGCCCTCCCCTCCAATGTCCTGAGGCCACCGGTTTTGGAAAAAGAAAGAGGTATAAGCTGGCTGCATCTTGTGTTACCGGCTCTATCGACCCCTTCCCCCAAACGCTTTGTGTGTTTCCAGCAATATCCAGCAGCGGTTAAGACCACCTGTTCAGGGGGGCTGGAGCGCTGCCTCCACTGTTTAAATGGTTGTGTAACACCGCAGAGCGGAGTCTGTTTCCTGTTTTATAAAAAGGGGATGACAGTAGCGTGTTGCCTCCATAGGGCCGTGATGGGATGGGATGAGATGAGTAAATTGCCTATTCCAGCACCTGGCAAGAGTTAGGTGCTCCATAAATCTGAGCTCCTTTTCTTACTGACTCTGCACCTGAAGACTCCATCACAACCCGTTTATTGGGAGATGATCCTCCCCGATCTTGGGAGGGCCCTGGGTTCCTCCTAGGAGCCACAGCTGTTAGAGGTGCAGACTGTCCTCCTGGCAAGTCGGAGGGTTTGCTGGCCGGCCCTGAAACATTATATGAGAGAGATGTCAGTGTTTAGGGCAGACATCTCACATACCATCCCGATCTGTGGATTTGATCCTGAATGAAGATCCCTTTTTTGCTAGTCACAGAAATTATTGGCCCTGGAGGGGTTAAAACATCTTTCCACTCTCTGTCTCTTCCCCATTGTTTATGTTAGGTATTTGTTTCAGGTGACTATTCTACCTCAGCAGCAGAACTTCTTTGGACTAGCTGTGGTGGCTTGAGCAGCTCACCCTGCTCAGAGCTCATGATAGGATCTCGGCTGAGTTGGGCTTATTGCATTAGTAACTGGACTAGCCCAGGCTGTCTTGGGTCTCCTCTGCAGGCAGGGCAGGAAAAGTTTCCTAAAAGACTGCAGCAACACTGTTAAGAAGAGTAGGAATATTCCCCCCTCTTTTGGAGAGCTGTGAGACCTCAGTGCATTTACCTGCAGTTAAAATACCAGATGCTTGGCTCTGGGTGGCATTTTCCCCCTCTGGAATAAATGATTAGTCAACTTGTTCCTTTGTTATGTTCCTGAAACCCCCCCCCCCATTTCCTCTCTTGTAGGTTTCCCTGATGATTTGTTCCCATAGCTCTTCCTCCCATCCCCCTTACTCATACATTGGTCAGTGTCTGCTCTGATTCTCTGGTCTTGCCAGTTTGAGCTGGCACTGAGCCCGTAAAGATGTTCTGTTTCTTAAAAAAACAAATGGGATTGAGGTTGCAGCCCTGTGCGCCTTCTAGTCTCAAATTTTGAGCACGTCTATTGGAAATAAACCCAAGTAGATTGCAGCATATGCTATACTTTGAGAGCCTTTTTTTTAAAAAGCTAGAGGTGAAAGACAGGAATGCATTTTATTAAGAGAACTTAATCCTCTTCTTTATTTTAATATAAACTTCTACATATACTGGGAGAGAATGCATGATTGAGTCACAGGAGGCACGGGCTAGAAATTCTCACCTAAGTAAGCTCTGTTAAAGGAAAAATAAACCAGTCTCCCCTTTGCACTTTGTTTATATAACCTAAGGCTTTTAAAATAATACCAAAGAATTTTAGTAATGATTTTCTTTTTTATTTCTTTCAGAAATATTTTGGCAACTGGCCACTCACTGGTCAGTTAACTCTCTTGATTGCAAAATGCACCATTAGTTTGGTGCAAGAAGCTCACCTTGCTCTTCAGGGCTTCTGACGCTGCTGGCTCTGTTCTTTTTTTTTTTTCTATTTAAATTTTTTATGTTTTTAATTATGTTTTTGTAGCCAGGGTCTTGTTATTGTTGCTCAGGCTGGCTTCAAACTCCTTGGGCCTCTCAAGTAACTGGGACTGCAGGCATGCATTACTGCGTCAGCTCTGGCTCTTTTGCTTTTGTTGCTGTTCCTTGTGTCTGAGGTCTACTGCTGCAGGTCCCCGGATGAAATCTGCCTTGTAATTTCTCATGAAGATGCCCTTTGTGTGAGGCTGGTTTGACCAACCCCTGAGTTTAGCTGGTAGTGCGGAACCTGGTGCAGATTCGCACAGGAGTACTCCAAACCCAGTCTCCTGGGCTGCGGTCTCTGGCATAGAAGGAAGCTAGAGAGAAGTGAGTTTCTGACCCTAGCTCTCCAGGTTAGGACCACTGCCTGGCTTTCAGAGCAGTAAGATCGAGATGGGGCAGGGAGGAACAAAGACAACTTCAGGATGGTCTGACCTGCATTCTGTGGGGGTTGAGCCCTCCCCAGGGTTGTCTGGGTTTTCTCCAGCTTGGGCCGAGAGGAAGGCCAGCTGGGTCTTCTCTTCTGTGTGACTGTTTCTGGCCCAGGTTCTTTGTAATTTCAACTTCCTGTCTGTCCCCTGGCCTCTTCGTTCTAGCTGCCTGACTCTCCTGGTACATTCTGTGCTCGTTTTTGGTTTGGTTTCCTGTTAACTGCTGCCTCCCAGCTGTTTCCAGATGAGGTTCAGCAGCTCTTTGGGGAGGAACTAAGTGCAAGGAAGTTGTGGTTATTTTTCACCCAGTTCTGAGAAGTGGTCTAGGGATTCTGACTACGATCTGTTCCTGAACGTGCAAAGGCTCTACCTCCAGAAGGATCTTTGGCCAGGACTGGTGTTAGGTGGGGACGTGGTGTTTGAGGACTCAGGACTGTGTGAGCATGCCTAGTGGCCTGCCAGGTAGGGATTCCAGTTTCATGGCGCTGCCTTTAAAGTCCATGCTCTTCCCTCTCTGTGATGCTAAGTAGCCCTGTGGCGAAATGTCTTGGTTTGGTCCTAAAACATGGGCTCAATTACTGGAACATTTTGGAGGGAAGAAGGTGCCTTTCCCCGAGGGGAGTAGCTTTCCTTGTCTGTGCCTTCCTGTCCTGCCCTGCCATGGAGAGGATGACACTTTGCCTGCAGGGTGGAAGTGAGGATCTGCCGAGATAACCTTTGGGAATGAGGCTAATGTAGCAGGCGAGTCAGGCGGAGTTGCAGTTCAGCGTCCTCATCCATCTGACATTTATTAGGAGCCCACATTTCTCATCTATGACCTGCAGAAAATGATGTATTTAACTGGGGTCCTTTAGCACAGCTTTCAGATGCCTGCTTGACAGTTCTAAATAGAAGCATTCTTTTTTTTTTTTTTTTTTTTTTTTTGAGACAGAGTCTCACTTTGTTGCCCAGGCTAGAGTGAGTGCCGTGGCGTCAGCCTAGCTCACAGCAACCTCAAACTCCTGGGCTCAAGCGATCCTCCTGCCTCAGCCTCCCGAGTAGCTGGGACTACAGGCATGTGCCACCATGCCCGGCTAATTTTTTTATATATATATATCAGTTGGCCAATTAATTTCTTTCTATTTATAGTAGAGACGGGGTCTCGCTCTTGCTCAGGCTGGTTTTGAACTCCTGACCTTGAGCAATCCGCCCGCCTCGGCCTCCCAAGAGCTAGGATTACAGGCGTGAGCCACAGCGCCCGGCCTAGAAGCATTCTTGATTGGGCCACTTTCTAAGGCTCCACAGTGGAGCTATGTACCCTAGAACATAGTTCATGGTTCTTGCCCTCTTAACATTTTAAGGAATGTCACACATGTATGTCCCCCACACAGATTCTGAACACATCTCATGTGTAACTTGCTGTGGTTGGTTTTGGTTCCACTTCTCTACCTTTTTAAGTAACGCCTTATCAGGGAGGCTGGGTGTGAAAGTCTCCAGGGGTAAGAGGTGGTTTTTTTTTTTTTTTTAATGTATTCTGCTTAAGTGTCTGCTAAACAGGAGACTTATATCAGGGCCTGCAAGATTGCCTTGGGATATAAGTTTCTAGGATGTAGCCCCTCTATTTTTATGCCCTATAGAGTAATTCTGTGTTCCTGGCTGAGGTGGGAATCTGTACCAGACTGGAGAAGTAGCAAGGACTAAAGGTTTAGAGTGCTGTAGCCTCCAAATTTGGAGTTTTCAGTAGAGGAACCTTCCAGTGCCAGGCATGGTAACTAGTTGAAATGGAAACCATTCACGCAAATGACTAAATTCATTTTACTCTTTTGCAACTGTACCAGAGATAAGCAGTTGGTCTTCTCTTGTGCTCTTTAGTCTCTAATCACTAGAGAGTGTGTCATTGCAGGTGTGCTCTGAGGTGGGACTGGGCTGCAGAGATGGAAGAGACAGTCTCTGTCCTCAGGGAGCTCACAGACAAGGGGTGGGGACCAAATACACAGACAGTTGCAGTGCAGTTAGTAAGGGCAGGTCTCATGGCAGTGCTCGGTGAAGGTGTCTACCCCAGACTGAGTGAGTGAGAGTATGTGTGTTTGTGTGTATAGACAAAAATCAGAATCAGGCCGGGCGCGGTGGCTCACGCCTGTAATCCTAGCACTCTGGGAGGCCGAGGGCGGGCGGATTGCTCAAGGTCAGGAGTTCAAAACCAGCCTGAGCGAGACCCCGTCTCTACCATAAAAATAGAAAGAAATTAATTGGCCAACAAATATATATAATATAAAAAAAAAAATCAGCCGGGCATGGTGGCTCGTGCCTGTAGTCCCAGCTACTCGGAAGGCTGAGGCAGCAGGATCGCTTGAGCCCAGGAGTTTGAGGTTGCTGTGAGCTAGGCTGACGCCACGGCACTCACTCTAGCCTAGGCAAGAAAGCGAGACTCTGTCTCAAAAAAAAAAAAAATCAGAATCAGTGTGGACGCTTCCCCTGACATGAGGGTTTAGTACTTATCCCCCTTTCCCCATGTTTACTGTCAAAATTACTTACGGATGAGGCTGGGTACAGTGGCTCATGTCTGTAATCCCAGTGCTTTGGGA